GAAAAATTTTAGAGAACAAATTTTCGTTGAGAAAAAGTTTTTGGAAAAAAACTGCACGCTTTCAGTTGGTTATAGCCGGTGCAGCCTACTGTATTTCTTATTAGTCAGATACCATATGATAACAGGAACACAATATCCTCAGAGAACTAAAACAAAAAGAACTGAACGAAAGGAGGATGGGACACATGGATTTCTGAGGTCTTAAAGTATACAATTTAACCAAAGAACAAAAAGACAAACTGTCCATGATTCTGCAGTACACGGGTAAAGCGAGGGAGCTGAATCAAAAATATATGTTCCCGTGTTGTTCAGTTCTTTGGCTTCAAATCTAAATTGGTTCAACATACTAGTGGAAGCGAAACGCCCTCAAATAAAAAATCTCATTTAAAAATCAGAACCCGATAGTTTTTCATTTTTTTTTCGTCAAATACTGGAGATGAGCTGATCTGTGGGCGGCTTTGGAAGTTTAGAAAGACCTTTTTCTAGTTTTCATATATGCTCCTTCTAATAGTTTAAGTAGAAAAATTTCGAAGTGGTTTCTTCATGGTGTAACTCCTGAAAAACTTCACCGTCCGATGCGAACATCAGATTATTTCAATAAAAAATGTTATTTCATGACCGGAAATCATTGTCCATTGCGCAGAGAACCATTTTAAAGGAAAAAATTAATTATTTTTGACCAAAATGCCATAAGGTGGAACGTTATCTAAATTGTTTCTCAAAAACTGTCTAAAACATTTTTATGTCATATATCACCGATGCAGTTTTTTACGCTGATTCCGAATATGATCTTACTTTTCAATAAAAACTTTCCTTGACCAAAAAGCATGGATTTTAGCTAAAATCCGGGCGTTTTGGAAAACCTCTAGAAAAGCCCGGGAAAGTTTATGCATTTTTAGGCACACACTTTAGCTACAGGACACATAGACGAACATTTTTGCGTCAGGTTGTGATTTAGCAAACTCATTATAATGATCACATGGTTAAGGAAACTAAGCTTGCTCAGAAAATAATTTTTTTCTTTCACATGTTTTAGATCAAAAACGTTCTTCACTATTAAGTAGTAAAACGCATCAAGAGTTAGGTTGTGGATGATTTTTAATTATAACTTCGTTGGATCTTATTTTGTTTTTTCAACCAGTGTCATCTTTTTGCACCCGGTTTTAGCCAAGTGTTTTCAGACGATCCTTTATACTCAGAATCAAAATTGTTTCGGCATTAGCCCATATATCAAAGTACGGTGTATCAATCTGAAAAACAGCACTCTCGATTTTTGGCTAAATGTCCCGATCGTTGCACATTGTGCAAAGGATTCATAAGGGCTAAAAATTTTCGGAAAAAATGAAAGTCGATATTTTAAAAAACTAAATGCGCTGTTTTGTTCAGAATTCGATGCTAGTACTAACCATATAGTATTTTCTTCAAAATTTTGGGTAATGAAATATGGTCTTAGCGTTCCTTGCCCTTTGAATTTATTTATTATAATGTTGTGCAAATGCTCACGGCTGATCTTTACGAACGATAAAAGTCTGTTAAGCCGTATTTCTCTTTTTCTTGAATTGTTAGCGTCGTTACGTTTCTTGAGCATCAACTGTTATGAACTGTACTCTACACGATATACTAATTTTTTCAATTTTACTGCTTTACTTTCAAGAATTAACCATATTTTTAATTTCCCATGAAATCTTTTTATATAATCAGTCTATGTAGTACATTTGTCATAACAAACACTGAAAATATTCGAAATTGAAAAGTTCATTCATTTGAAATGAATGAATGAATTGTTGTTTTTGAAATTTATTCATTTCAGTTTCTTAATTGAACAAAACAATCTTATAGAAAAAAGATTTTTAATTATCATAGCTTCTACATTTTTCTTGCTTTTCGTATGACAACCATTGTCAAATAAATAAAATTAAATTTAAAATAGAGTTAAATTCATAGATTGTGTACTTTGACAATCACAATTTGTACAGGAATAGCATCCTTGACATGCAAGTATGATCCGAAAAATGATAACGCATCACAATTATATGAATACGACTCTTAAGATGATACTGGATTATTGAATTACGTGCAAGATTGTTTATGGTCTAAGGGACTTCACAAATAGTCGTATGATTAAAAAATTGATGCTCTGCACATTGCTAAAACACCGCAGGAAACAATACAAGTTTTTATTAATCAACAAGTATTTTTTATTAACAAAATCGAAATGTATGCTCATAACTCAAAAAATCTTGTTGTATAACTTGTAATACAAATAAAAACAAAAAAATTTAACGCGCATCAGAGGTTATCGTGTAATTCTTTACCTATACAAAAAAAAAATTGCGATCATAATGATGTTTGTGTGGCGTGCAAGAATAAACTAAAATAAAAAAATAAATTTATATAAAAAACAGGATTAAAATGTTACTGACAAGTAGTTTGAGATAGACGGAAGTGAAGTTGCAGAATATTTAAAATTATGAATGGCTAATGGAAGTTGCAATCGATCCTATTCGATCAGAATAATGGCGCAGGCCAGAAAGTATGTAAAATATACAAAACAAAATGCTCAAACCACAAAAACGAAGAAAATCAAAACAAAAATGATATAAAAAATACTCAAGTAAGGAACAAGAAAAACAGATTCTACAACTCTATCAGCAGCACTCATCAGCACAAAAACATGATTTGGCAAGAAAACTACCAGTGAACAACTTAAGATAAAAAATGCATTAAAGTTAATAAATTTTGCTAGGAACAAGAGAAAGGTCGACATGCTTGTCAGAATAAAGCGCAAAAAATGTCAAAGATTCTCAATGAGTTACATAAAAAAACTTTCAATTCAGAAAACACCTAAGCACCTTTCCACTTCTTAAATACTCGGAAATACACAAACTCCGAGAACATAAACAACTTAACTGGCTGTTGTTGTTTTATTTATTTCTGCGCAACTCTTGCACAAATTCAAAAAAATCCAACGATAAATCGTGGACTGCTTCTGATTGGTCGAAAATCGTCCATGGGACTGTAAAATCATAAATGATTTTAGAAAGTGATTTTAGCTTCCCATGACCAGATAGATATTGTAGTCTGCTTTGTTGTGAAGGTACACTTTTCCCATTAGCCTTGACTGATTGAAGTTTATTTAAGTTGGATAAAATATGAGGTAAATCTAATAAAACAAGTATATTTAACGGTGATGCATTCTTTTAAAGTAATGTCAAAAGCTGATGAGTACAATAAACTACTGCACAACTCTGCTATAGCAAATCAAGTGTCAGGCTTTGTATCATTTGTTACATCTTCACCTCTATATCTTTGAACTAGTGTATATGTTCCAACGTGTACAAGAGACGAATTGTTTGGATTGATAATGCAAACTGATTTACCTGATAGAATTCATTAATGTTTGTATAAATACCTCTAACTGTTGATCACATATAATTTTATTAAAATTTCGATGGTTCATTAGATAATATTTGAGATAATTGGTCAACTGGGATGTCATTGATATTTGTCATATTTGAGATGCTTATAGAATTTATCTAAGGCCTCGTCCACACTACAAAAGTTAAAGGAGCTTTAAGCAATTCTATTGGCTAAAAGTTAGTTTAAGCCAATAGATTTGCTTAAAGCTCCTTTAACTTTTATAGTGTAGACGAGGCCTAACGTATTAGTTGCATTAGATAATCACTCAATATCGAACTGTTAATTACTATGGAAATTTTTTTTCTCATAGTAATTAACATTTTCGGCGATATAGATACGTTTTTTTTTCAACTATGCATTATCTGAGGCTTTCCGTTCGTCACCTACTTTAACAACTGGAATATATTTTTCTACTCCAAATAGATTTTAGATTGTTACTAAAATCTAAAGAAACATTTGCAATCAGAGTTGGTAAATGGGATGTTATAAGAGGCGGTTCCGTTGTTCTTATTCATTTTTTGAAAATGAAATGAACTTTTGTTGTTGAATGTCGTTGCTACGAAATATAGACTATGGTATGCGATTGTAACTGTTGTAACTGAATCTCTTTTTTCTATTAGATTCGAATTAAAACGAGTTTTAAACATGGTTATGCCATTTTGACCGTTATAGAATAGTCAAAGATTTTGTACGGTATTGATCTCGTGTATAATTGTTCAAACTGGTTCATTTATTGGATAGAGTTGTGGTAGTAGTATAACGTTTCACCTAGGATAATTTAAATATTTATCCTGCTCATACCGTCGTTTAGCATATCATTGTCTTTTACGTATTTATTTTATACTCAAATATATATTTAAGTTGCAAAAAGGTGTCTCAATTTAGTTGTTTATCATAGGTATCAGATGTAAAGTATTGAACACTTATTAAGTAGTCTGATCCGTGCAGTTTTATTCGAAGATTATTAATATGATATTGATTTGGTTTTGATTATAAGCGAAAAATGAGTGAAAAAATTGATTTTTTGTTGACATTAGGTCACAAAAGCAGCAACCAAAAGAAAGAAAAAACATTTTGTCAAGAGGTTAGGAGAGAAAATTTTCAATGTATTTTGCATGAAATCTATAGCTCACAATCACTGGCAGTTTTTAAATATAAAACTGGAATGGTATTATTTCTAAACAAAGCAAAACAAATATTGTTTTAACTGATAACACCCGTTTTCCAGCAAAACTGAACAACTTTGAAAGTTTGTAATTTTTTGACGAAGTGTTTTTTAACCAAATGGAAAACAGTAAATCGATGCAGTTTTCCACTGTGTATCTAATCATATATTTTTTATTTCATTTTGAGTTAGGCGAATTTTCAATAAAAACCGGCGGTGTCCTTTACTCGGACAAGTCCATACGTACTGCCCTATTTACAAGTCAAGGAAACTAGAACCAAAGAAACTATGTGTCATTTTGTAGAGATTTTCTTCTAAGACGATAGATATTGATAATCATGTGGCCCTCTAGTTACGTAAAATAAACTGTATGATGAGGGCGCCAGTATTTAACGTTCATCGAGCTGAGGTAAAAATGAAGTTAAGTACATGTACGGGGCTGAATAAGGCACACAATGTGGTTGAAACGTTGGAAGATCTAGAATCCAATATTCGGACTGAGATAAGTGATGATTTCGTGAAAAAGGTAAAAGATTACTTACTTACCTTCTTTGAGGCTTTAATTAGTTGCCCATTTGTGATAATCTGGACGAATACCACGCAAGCACTTACTTCATCTTGTTCGTGATTGAGAAATCTTTTAACAACAATTAGAATAAAAGTTGTGCTTATTTCGTTCAATTTTTCATTTTTCAGCCACTCAAATTCATTGGATAATATCTAAAAATAAGACAGGATCTCCTATTTCCATTCCATTTGGAGAAAATATGATTACCAACTTAGAATTACATTTTGCTTTTGGTTAAATTTTCAACTTTTATCCAATGAATTTGTGTTGCTAAAAAGCGAAAAATTGCACTAGTACAGTTAAACACATCTTCATTTTCTGATCAATTCCCATATGGATAAAAAAGTGATCAGCGTCATGATTTATTTGTTTGTCGTTTCGTTTTCACATTCAGTTAAACGACAGAGATCAAAATATCGAAAACTTTAAAAGGTTCGTATCTTAGAGAAAATTATACATTATTCTCCTTCAAAAAACTGCTCTTCGTCATGTAACTTATGATAAATAACCGAAATGAACTTCTTAGTAACAGATTCAGAAAACTTTTACAGTAAGAATTTTTATACAGTAGTTGAAGAAATTTAATAATTTCGCTTATCAAAAACGGAAAACTCTTGAGATCTAATTCTGTACTGACGATGCATTAATTTTTCTCTTTTATTGATATTTATGTGTCATATACGGTTAAGATGATAATCTACTGTTATTCTCTTTAATCTTCAGATGTTAATATTATCTCATCTTGTGTTGTTTATTACCTTTATTTCTTATGGACATACAACATTAGACGATGAAATCTTATATGATATCACATGGCAACCAGAATTACCTGTGAGTTTTTCCAATCTAGTTCCAACTATACTCATTTTTATTATTAAACAATTATTCTAGGAATTAGAAATAGAAAATGAGCTTATTGTTGTATCAAAACGTAAAGAAAAATATGCTTGTTCATTGCCGAATGTTCGAACAACTCAACCGGTATTGTGATTCGAAAATTTATTAGCTTCAAATATTTTGATTAATAATCAAATTTATTTATTAAGACTATTACTGACCATGTTGCGCTTAGTGATGTTGAAAATGTATTACAAGCTTTACATTCGAGAAAATTTTGTTCATACAGAGTAAGTTATTTATATTTTTATAGACACAAATCATAGCCATTAAACGCAATAGAAGTTAGTGTCTTGTTTCGACGGAGAGGAACTCATTATATTAACTTCAAGCATTTTTTTATAGATCATGTTCTTATTTTTAATTAAGTGATACAAACCGTCTATTTATGTCTCTTTTAGATGGATACTTACTGGTCGTACGAATTATGTCACGGAATGCACATTAGACAATATCATGATGTTAAAGTTGCTGGAAAGGTGAATGAATTATTCTAATATTTTAATATTTAACTGAAATTGAATCATTTTTTTATTTAAGAAATCAACAATTCAAGAATATTTTCTTGGTTATTATCAATTTCAAAAACATGACGTAATAAGCGATGAGGATGGTAGACAAGTCATTAAAGTAAGACATACTAATATTTTTGTCAATGATCTAAATTGTTCTTGTTTTTCTAAATATCATTAGACTCATCATAAAATTATTGAAGGTCGAAGTACTCCAGCATTACCAGTACGTTATACACATGGCACACCATGTGATATTCATTCGAACCAACCTCGTGAAACACTTGTGCTTTATGGTACATGACTATTTCTTCTCATTTAAAGGGCATTATCTACTTTGTTTTATTTTCATTTCAGTGTGTGATGACAAGGGAAATGATGCTGTCATAAGTATTGAAGAAGTATCATCATGTTATTATGAGCTGATTGTTGTCTCACGTTGGCTGTGTTCATTACCAGCATTTACTCCGTTTGAAAAAATACGGCAGAGTATTAGTTGTTATCCGAAAGAAAATGCATATCAAAAACCGAGAAATTTAAAAAAACTTGAATATAAAAGGCAACAATCGTGGAAAACAGGCGGTCATGCACAATTTACTGTAAGTTTTTTACACCAAGAAGGTGATTTATACATTTTGAGTAATTTAACATTTTTTGTTTTAAAGATGACTATTTTAGATGGATCAACAGTTATTGTTTCATATCAATTTTCTGAAGAACCTGATGTTGACGCTATTGCCGAAGCTGTTATGAAAACGACTTCAAAATTAACACCACAGTTCTTAGAACAACAACAACAACAACAACAAACTGACGACGAACAAACACAACCAACTAATTCTCCATTACATGAAAACACCAATCGTGTTACAGATACGCCTATTACTGGCACACTTGGCAGTGATGTCGATAAAGAATTTATTAAAGGTTTTTTATCTGGACGGGAATGTCTGCCGGGTGGGGCAAGTTTTTGATTCTCACATGATTTGTTTTAAGAGTATTTCACACTATTTTTGTCTATTTTAGTCGGGTTGGTGGAAATATGAAATTTGTTATGGTAAACATCTGATACAATTTCATGAAGAAGGAGTACATCGTACATCAATTTTGTTGGGGAAATGGAATGAAGAAAAACATATTGAATGGATAAATGCTAATCCAAAAAAGCGTCCATTAGCAAATATAAACGAACGAACGTATGTGAAATTTTTCTATTTAATTTATTAGAAAGTGAAATATGATATTATTTTAGATTTATATCGCTTTATTATACAGATGGCGATATATGCGATTTAACAAAAAAACCACGTGTTGTTGAAGTGAAACTACGGTGAGTTGAATGAGAGAAAAAATTTAAATATTAATGGTTTTTCAATGTTATGTTTGCTATTAAAGGTGTTTACAACAGACAGAAAAATCTCATGCAACATCGGTCTATCTTGTAGAACCAGAACCTTGTTCATATGTCATGGGGGTAAGTACGGGTTTGGATAGTGATAAGCCGGCAGTCTATCAAAAAAGAGCAAGATCGAGATAATTGATTAGAAAAAATGTGCAAAGAATATACATGACTTTCTAAGACATTTTATAATAGAACATTTATGAACGTTTTTCATATTTTAACAATAATCGTCAAAAACCAGCGTCTTTTTTATTTTTAATAATTCTAAATCATGGATCTAATTGATAGTCAAAAAGGATGAACTGATTTCATACATTCGACAAACAGATGACTGTTTGTATATGATCAGAAAATGATATTTTAGTATATTATGATAAAAACACAGCATTAAACAAAATGAATATTTATTATTACATACTGACAAAAATCCACTCCTGTCATTCTCAAGTTTAAAACATGTTTAGGTTTATCTTTCTAATTTTTTCATAGCTCTTGAGATAAATCTAATGTCTGATTACGATGGTATAAAGTATTTTCCCTCATGGCTCTTGAAGACCCGGTTTTCTAGGAAACAAGTTTTACAGAAACTTTAAAAATAACCAAAACTATTAACGAGGCATAATTGTAGCGTGCACATTTCTGATTAAAATGAGACGACATCTCCCGGCTCTACACGATCTTTCTTTGCAAAGTTATAGAATTTACAAGAAGAAGAAGAAAATTTCTTTTTCTTATTTCTGTAGCTTTGAGCTGACAACAAACATTTAGGGCTTTTCTTGTAAATTCTATAACTTTGCAAAGAAAGGTCGTGTAGAGCCGGGAGATGTCGTTTCACTTTAATCAGAAATGTGTGCGCAACAATTATGCCTCGCTAAGAAAGGCTTTGGTTATTTTTTAGAGTTTCTGAAAAACTGATTTTCCAAAAAACCGGGTCTTCAAGAACCGGGGAGGAAAAAATACTTTATGCCATCGTAATCAACTCGTCGAACTCTACAAATCAGGATATATCCTATTGAAAAGCGACAGTAACACTTGGGAACCTTCCCCCATTAGCAGAATTTGATGATATTGTACAATGCACATGTTTTTCTTTATTTTAATTGTTAATCACAATTATTATAGAAACAGTTCTTTCAAATGTTCCTTTCTATTATCTTAAATCATATCTTCATTCACAGAGGCATTCAAAACGCTTAAATACGAATGATATTTAGACAAGTCCGTCAGATTTTATTCTCTATATTTTTAATCTTTTTTCAGGTTGAATCTCATTTGTTTTGTAACATTATTCAGTACACCGATGACTTTGGTATACCAGATACAGAGAAAATTGCCGCTATTCTTAATGATCCTAGTCAGTCACAACAATCAAAAAAAACTCAGAACACATAATAAAAGGCATTTATTTTATACTGCAAAAATATTAGGAGTTATCTAGTTCCTTGTTAGCATTTTGTTGTTTATCGATAGTGAGTATTAAAAATATTTGTTTTTTTTTTACCTCTTTTATGTGATATGTATATTTGTTATTTATTTTTCTCATTGTTGTTAGCATTTTTATTTATCAGATAAAAATCAGATTGTTCTAAAAAATTCATTTCTGATTGTAGTTAAAGGAAGCTGTTTCAATCAAAACTAGTTTATCATGTTTATAATTGATTTCAAGCTTTTAGATTTAAGTACAACAATGGAACAATTGAAGAATTTTATACGTTTTGGTTTTAGTTCATCCCCTAAAACTCGTTCAAACGTCATAAATGAATTGATTGAATCATTCAAAATCAACGGTATATTTTCCTTTTTTTTTTACCTCATAGAATGTGTTTACTTTGATCTAGACTTTTTATATCTTTTAAGATCTACCTGATCCAGCATTAAAAATTCTTGGTCAAGCCATTGGTCAATTGATTCCAATGTATACTGATACACCATCAAAAGTATTATTATCCAATTTAATTTATGAGCTTGTCTTGAATTATAAACAACGTTCAATCAAACCAATTGTTCAATCATTCGATAATTTATCTCATACATCATGCAAATTAAATCCACAGTAAGTTTTATGTGAAATTAGTTTATATAAACTATCAGTTAAGAAGGGGGCTCTATTCTTATTTAAAAGAAAATTTATATAGATACAACATTTTGTTATATACTCATTTTTTTTTGTGATCTCTGGTACAGAGGCTGTTCGAACTTGAACTTTTTCAAGTTCTTTTGAAATCTAAGTAAGATCTATCTTAATCAAGAGTGAAGTTAGAGAAATCTTATACGTATTTGAGCGTGTTTTCTCATAAAGTGAAATTCTTACAATATTTTGCAAATATAATTCACCACTTCTCAAAATAATTTTTATTTAAATTAGAGGAAGTTTACAATATGTTTTTTCAATATTTTAAATTAGTATTTTATACTCTTTTTATATCTCTATTTCATAACTTTCGTCTTTGCTTTTGTGTTAACCCACATTGACTAAAATAAGAACATATAAGTTTTGACAGTACCAAATTAGCCATGCACCAGTTACAAACTGGTGTTCTGATATTCAGAAGAATTGCCATACATCGGTTATCTAAATTCTCACAGAGCTGTTGAACGTCTCATTTTGTAGAAAAATGTTTGTTCTACAAAATGCATTTGTTGAAAAAATTCCATAGTTATTTCTAACAAAACTCAGAGTATTCTAAAATGTACTAAATCACGAAAATTTTTCGTTTTCTTTTAAAACATTGCAAAAACTTATTGTAAACTTCCTCTAATTTAAATAAAAATTGTTATGAAAAATGGTGAATTATTTTTACAAAATATTGTGTCACCAAATAGTGTGCTATTAAAAGACACATTTTCACAATTAACATTGTTAAAATGTATGTTTAGTTTTATTTCATAGCATTTTTGTTCTTGTTCTCATTAATATGTGATGTTTTAATTGTATACACCACATTATTTAGCAGACACTATTGTTATTAAAGTAAAAAATTTTCTGTATGACTTAGACATAATATGGTCAGACTTGTCTACAGACAATTCAGACCAGTCTTTATACCAATGATATTGACAATTCTAAGTCTTCTTAAAAGTTATGTGTTCAACAGTAACTAATCGTTTAGTTTCATTTTTTGTTTTGTATTTGTAGTCGAAGCGTTCATACACAAGCTGATTATAGTTTAGTCTATCTAATTCGGTTATTAACTGCATGGGAAAAGTGTAATAATACCAGTGGCGATGGTAATGATGAAGAAGTGAATAAATCAATAGTATGTTTAAATTGTGTTGTGTTTAGGAGTTAACTAAAAAATAAAAATCTTTTTTATTTTGTAGATGTTGATTTTTGCTCGGTATTTATGTACCATTTTGGCTGATTCATCATCACCCGGAATGACTGTTGCTAATAAACGTATTACACAATTATTCAAACAGGTAATGAAAATAAATACAAAAATTATTTCTTCTAGTTATTTTTCAATTATTTTACTACGCTATTTTCTAGATTCCATCGTTAGTTGAACGTTGGTTGAAATATTTACAATCATCCGAACCTGATTTAGCATATTTAGGACTAACAAGTGTTTTACTACATCATTTTAAAACATCTGAAAATGACAAACAACGTTATGAGGAAGCGAAAGTATGTAGAAAAATGGCTGAGAATAAATATCTTAATACATGTTGACCTATTGCGTAGAATTTGCTAACTTTGTGTCAAAAACATACAGTTTTTTTTGACAAAATCGTTTTCATGCACAAGTGGTAACCTCGAATATGAGCAAAATGACTTTTAGCAAATGGAAGATGAGCAAATCTGTTTTGAGCAGCTAGAAAATGAGCAAAATTGCTTTAAGCAAATTTTTATTTTGAGGAAAAAATGAAAAGTACATTGGAAGAACAAAAAAGAAACAGAAAGGATAATTTTCAAATTGCTTGTATCATCCATTCTTTGATTTACTAAGGGCGAATGATAGCAAAAAATCCATTTCAACTTTTAAATTGATTTACTTTCAACTCATTAATTCTACTAGGAAGATTTAGTCTCTACATTTGTTTCAACATCGTTTTCTTCCTTAAAATGATATATCCTCTTCCACTAACTGATGACGCATCGAGCAATACTTATCAACTGTTGGGAAAAATGGCTACAGTTCTATTATAAAAATGATACACATATAATCTGTTATTCACTTTTTTGTTCATCTTCCATTTGCTCATCAGTATTTTACTAAAAGTCATTTTGTTCAAAATCTTTTTACTCATTTTCTTTTGCTAAAAGTCGTTTTGCTCTAATTTTTTTTGCTCATATTCGAGGTATTCGCACAAGTTTGCAAACAATTGTTGCAAACTTTTGCGAACTATTTTTTGTAAAAGTTCGCAATATATTGCAAATATTTTGAAACGAAAAGTTCAGAATTGTTTGCAAAGTTTTGTGAAAAAAGAAAGTGTTTGCAAACTTGTGCGCGGAAACGATTTTGTCAAAAAATTGTGTTTTTTTGACACAAAATTCGCAAATTCCACCCAATGGGAGGACGATGACTGAAAAAAATTCGGATATAAGCCACCAAATGGTATGTTTCCTCACTATAAACTTCAATTCCTCTTATCCTAGTAGATGAGGATTTTTACAAAACTACTACTGAACATAAAGAGAAAAAAACGTAAGATCAGGTAAAAAATAGATCTTGGGTCTATATAATTTCTTTGTTTTAGACACTGGGTATTGATTTATATTGCAAATTAGTTCTTGGCACTCGTACAAAACCGTATGATTCAGCTTTGAATCCTTGTAATGAGATAATTGATTCTATTGATCTGAACTCGTTTAACACAAAGGTATATCCAGTATTAAGTCGTTCATTATTACGAAATCCCGAAGTAATTATTGAAGGTATGTAGAGTAAACATTCAGTTTCTCATATGTATAATACTGTTTGTCTCTGTGTGCTATTTACTGCTAGTTTGGTAACAACAAACCTTTAACACATACGACACGTTGTTGTATATTTTTTTATTTTATTTTATTTTCTAGCCGTACCCGTATTACTTTCTCGCGTATCGTTCGATCTTAGTTATATAGCAACTGAACTGGCCCAGTTGTTAGTAGGTAAAGTGATTCAGTTTAGCTTATTTTCTCATTTTTCATAGAATTTGTTATTGTTCATTCCATCTTTTGATAGGTCCGTTAGTGTCAAAATCTGAGTCGCTCGAAAAAGCTGCATTGGACTGTTTTCGATCATTATCTAGACAAATAAGTTCTGGTGAAGTAGTAATAGAAATAACGACATATTTATTCAATGTTCTTCAAGGTAAGATACTTTAAGAAAAGTTGGTTATTTAAAAAAAGTTTTATTTAAATTTGTTATTTACAGGTACAGATCAAAAAATTGGAAAATTATCAGTTATTAGTCAACGTCAAAATATACTGAGTGCAATTGGAACATTAAGTTTTTCATCATCGTCAATTTCTCAACAAGCAATTTTACAATTACTTGAAAAACATTTTTATCCACTGATTCAGCAAGAAGTACATGAAGGACTCATTTGTCATATGCTACAACAAATGGCTGGATGGTGTACACGACTAAATACTGTACAACCAAGCTTAACAGAATTTTTCAAGGTAGGTAGTAATTATAGTAATATTATGCTATTGTTAACTATTAATCGTTAGTACTGTCCACGTCAAAATATCAACATATATTCGATTTTATTTGTTTAACTATATTCTGCAGTAGCGTTTAATACGAAACTTTCCCTTATACCGAAAACTTTCAATAAAAGCCGAAGTACTTTCTGTTAGTTTTTGAAACTGTTATTGAACCTTGTGGTGTAGCGCAGATAAAACTACTAAAGCTTCCCCAATTGGCAAGGTGATTTCCAAAAAACCACTTGAGCTCCACCTGAGAACTTTGGTTCCTAGATACAGTTACGTTCCATAGGCTTAGCTCCACGACGGTGAAAACACGATCTCGATAGCCCTTTGTGTTCTCGAGTTATTCAACTCACAATCACACACATTCTTTTTTGACATGGACAGTAGTATTATATCCGATGTTGGGGTACGACAAATTTGTCCATGTTGATAGAAATATTGATTGAAGCTAAAAAGAAAAACATTATTTTACTTGATGAGATGTTTTCGTAATCTTTTTTTTTCTTTAAAATGTTTATTGTTTTAGAAAGGTCTTGAACAAAAGTCTGCTTCATCGGTCACACGAGTTGCTTATTTACAATGTATGCTAGGAACTTATAAAGGTATGTCTGATACGGTTGATGAATTATTTTTTCTTATTCTAATAATTTATTATGTTTTTCAGAAGATAATTTACTATTATTGATTCCAATACACCAGACGTTAGTACAGTCGTACGAACGAGGTATTAATCAGCCAACATTGATTAGTTGTGTACACGAAGCATTATTAGTCGCACTTATTTTTGTTAGTATTGTTCAAATTGATTCGAGATATGGTAATTATTAGTTTGATTTAGACTGTTGAATTTCTTGTCTTTGTTTATTTTCACCATTTTTATTTACTTTAAAAGAGAATAAATTGACATTATTATGGTCTTCCTTAAATGACACGAAAAAACAGATATTTACCAGTGAAAAATTTCAAAAAGAACTTAATGATACCGGTAAAAATTATTAAAATAATTTATTTCATTATCAATTTTTTGTAACTATTTTATATATTACAGGTGTACAAACTTATTTTCAGTTTTATGAAAAATTATGTGTTACTCAAAAAATTCAAAACATGTTGTATGTGAGCTGATTTTGAATGTTAAACTAAAGAACAAAACATTCATATGATTTTTTTTATTATTTATTTGTAGTCCATACACCAGAACATTTATTAATTTAATTATGAATACGTCCTATGATACACGAAGATATGCCTATGATATTTTAAGACGTCTTGTTAATAATTTACAATCTGAAACAGATATATGCAATAGTATACTCGATTCATTAACAAGTTATCTTGAACATTTATCTCAAACAGTTAGTGTTTGATCTATCTTCACATCAGATTATCAACATTTTTTTCATTTTTATTTTTATTCTTCTTATTATTGAACAGATGAATGAAACGGCAATGACAATCAACGATGAAACAAATACATATACAAAAGCCATGAAAGCACTTGAAGAAACACTAATTTGTTTGGCAACAGCATTAAAAACACAATCAGATGATGTCAAAGCAGTAAGACCGAATATTGATTGTTTGTACATCACAGCAACATTTTTAAATGGAATATCAACACGTTCTATACAGTCGTTAGTTCAACGTTAATTTTTCTCTTATACATAAAGAACGACAATGAGCAAACTTTTCTTTTGGTTATTTTTCTTCAATACCTATTGACTTTGATTAGATTTTTTTAAATTTTAGCTTGTTAGTACAAAATCATTACTTGTTTGTTGTTTAAGTTCAAATACATTTTCAATAACGGGAGTAAATCTTTGGCAAAAAATTATTTATTATATATTTAATAAAGATTACAGTAAAGTAAATGATTATTTACAAAATAATGTTGATATTCTTGTTGATACATGTACAACAAGTTCAAATAATCTACTAACTGAGGTATGTACTCTGTTGTTGTTTTTTCTTCTTCTTATTTACAGAAAAAACTAATTATAATATCATTCTAGACTCAAATGGATGCAATTAGTTTATTGTGTTCATTACGTCCTTTATTATTTATTCGAAAGTTTTTATTATCAACATTTAATCGGCTTGAATCAGATCGTTATCGTATGGTTACCAAACGTGATTATGAGATTATGCAAACACCTGATGGAGAATTATATGATAAAAATTTAATGGAAACGTATGTTTGAATAACTTTCATCATCATAAATTGTATCGTAAAAACACGATACTCTTTTGTTAAATGTTCTTCATATTTCAAAATGTTACTGTTTATCATCAATTTTTTTATCTGTTTTTAAGAATATTAAAACATGAAGTAAAAGACACGGGTAATATTAAACGTGAGAGTAAAAATTATTCTTATAAAGAGCAAATGGCAGCAGTGGAATTAGCAAAAGAAATATCGAAAAAGAAAAATGAACCACATCAATTAAGTAAAAAACAAGAGGAAATGTTACAAACAGCCTTGGATAATGAAAGAGTTATACGTACAAATGTTAAAAAGGTTAATATTTTTATCAATAATTTGTTTCATAACATGTTAACTGTTTCATTTTCTTTCTTTCTTTTTTTTTGTATTTAGATTGATTATGATGCTAAAAATGTTTTTTTAATTTTAACACATATTATTGATGGTGCACTAGAATACATAATGCCGTATATTGGTGAAATATTGTCAAAAATATGGCCAACATTTCAATCCCCATTGACATTTGTTTATGCAAGAGATCTTTATGTTCGTCTAGTACCAATTGTTTTCTTAGAAGAAGAAAATACATTTGGTATAATAATCGAAGAAGAGATTTAAGTATTATGAAATATATATCATTATTTATTAATTATTTTAGGTAATTCGGTTGCTTATCTAGCTATTCGTTTGAATAGTTTTGATGATAATATGATGAAACAACAAATTGATTTACGATGGACACAAGAACCAGTTTCAGCGGCTATTGATCGTGTATTAAAACGTCTTCAAAAACATGTTAATTATGAAAAAACAGTCAATCAAATGTGTTTAGCACGTTTAGATTATTGTCTACCATTATTTAAAGTAAGATGTTTCTATGTTTTCTATCAAAAGTTAAGTCTTATTTTTTTTATTTTGTTTTTCTATTGTAGAATATTGTAAGACAAGAGATGTGTACAAATGAATGGACTTCAATCATATTAGATATTTGTAAAGAATATTTTTCTTGTGTATCTCAAACAGATCAAAATGTAAGTAATTTCTTTTTTTTTCTATTTTGAATTTTGAAATTAAATATTGTTTGTTTTGTTCTAGAATCATCCAAGTTTGATACCACGTCGTGATTTATTTCGTCTCTTTCTCGATATAAATGCCACTTCCAAATCTGTTCAAATACAGGTGAATTTGATTTTTATTTAATCACATTTAGTTTCACATCTTTGAGTTTAAAATTGAACAGTGAGACTCTAATTAGTTAAATCAGCTCCACAACGAGTATAGTTGACTTAATTTCATCCTTATTTTATCGATTTTTTTTTTTTTTTTATAGAACGAAGCAACAGATATGTTACAAAAGTTATGTGAGTTATGTTGTAACTATGAAACGGATGATGATATTCAGGTACTAATAGAAAATATAAAATCTCCAATACCAAGTGTACGAGAAAGTTGTGTTCTGGTAAGTTAACAAGAGAAAAAAGATATTCTTATTTAAATACGAATTTTACAATATTTTAGTCATTGAAAAAACTTGTTACTCGTTTAAAATTACATCCTAAAGTAGAACATAACATTGCACGACGATTATATATTGCATGTGAAGATCCAGAAGAACGTGTTCAAAAAGTAGCCTCCGAGTATGTTTGACTTATTTTGAATTCTATCTTTGCTATTATTCTTTATTGTTTTTTAGATTATGGCCAGAATGTGGGCTAAATGTGAAATATGAGCATGTTCAAAATTTTCTTGAGGATGTGATAAACATTGAAGGAGCTGTACGAGATGCAACATCACGAGCATTACCAAAATTACTACAATCATCGTACCCTGAATTAGTGCCATTTATTTTGAATGATCTCTTTGAAATTCATGAAAAGAAAAATGATGTAAGTTTAAAATTATATGTTGGATATATATGAACAAAATAATACTCTCATTTTTATTTATATTTCTAGCTACCACCACCGGCTGTCGATCAATTTGGACGTTTAATACAAACAAAACAAATCGATACATGGGAACCACGTGCCGGCATCGCTGCTTGTCTCTATCATATGGCACCGTTAGTTGGTAATAATATTCAAGATTTATTTCAGTTCTATGTGCCAAAAGCATTAAACGATAGAAATGATCTTGTTAGCAGTGAAATGTTAAAAGCAGCAACAAAAACAATCGATTTACATGGAAAAGTAAGAAGCAAATAATTTAGTTTCAATAATATAATTCTTATTTATTGTATATAGGATAATTTAAATATGTTACTACAAATAATGGAAGACTTTCTCAAACAAGCACCTAAAACAGCTGATTATGATTCTGTAAGACAAAATGTTGTCATATTAATGGGTAAATTAGCGAAAGATATGGATAAAGATAGTGCCAAAGTTAAAAATATACTTGGACAATTAATTTCAACATTAAATACACCATCACAACAGGTAAAATGAGAAACTAGAAGATTATAGTGTCAATATAATAGATGTTATTTTTTTAAGGTTCAAGCAGCTGTTGCCGATTGTCTACCACCATTAGTACCTGCTATAAAAGATGAAGCCGGTGTATATGTTAAACAACTAATGAATTGTATGTTACAATCAGATGATTATGCAGAAAAGAAAGGTGAGTAAAAGCTAAACTGTCACCTGTGATATGAAACAACTCTATCTATATGACCACTTATCATCATTTATTCATAAAGTATATCGATTATTCATTTTCTTTTTTCAGGTGCAGCCTATGGTTTGGCTGGTTTTATTAAAGGTCTCGGCATTTTGGCTGTAAAACAGTACAATGTACTTGATGAGTTAACAGAAGCTATTCAAGATAAAACAAATGCAAAACGAAGAGAAGGTTTAAAAATAAATGTCATTTCTATATTTATGATTTTTTATTTTATTTTTTTATTCATTTATAGGTGCTCTATTTGGACTGGAAATGTTAACAACAATGCTTGGACGTTTATTTGAAGTGTATATCGTTAATATATTACCAAATTTATTATTAAGTTTTGGCGATAGCGATGTTAAAGTACGAGAAGCAGCTGAAGATTGTGCTCGAGCCATTATGAGTAAATTGACAAGTCATGGTGTTAAAATTGTATTACCTGGATTATTGAAAGGTCTTGAATCAGATTTATGGCGAACAAAATGTGGAGCTGTTGAATTACTTGGTTTGTCATTTCTTCTACTATTTCTTCAATTCAACATTTGACTGTTATTCATCTTTTCTAAATTTAGGTGCTATGGCTCATTGTGCTCCAAAACAATTATCAACTTGTTTACCAAGTATTGTTCCAAAATTAATTGAAGTATTAACTGATTCACATTTACGTGTTCAAAAAAGTGGAACACAAGCATTAAAACAAATCGGATCGGTTATTAAGAATCCAGAAATTCAAGGTAAAAAATGGAAATAAAAACAATTATGGTTATTAAGTTCTCATAACATCGACTATTCTAGTTTGATATATGTTAACATCTTTTATTTTTGCTTCTATAGCTATTGTACCTATTTTATTGGAAGCATTACAAGAACCAACAAAGAAAACGCAAGCATGTTTACATACATTGATTGAAACACGATTTGTTCATTTTATTGATGCACCGTCATTGGCATTAATTTTACCTGTCCTTGAACGTTCATTTCAAAATCGTTCAACTGAGACAAGAAAAATGGCTGCTCAAATTATTGGAAATATTTATTCATTAACAGATTCTAAAGTAAAATTCATTATTATCTTTGAGTATTTCTCTCTAAATTTTCTGTTTCTTTTTAGGATTTAGCCCCATATTTACCAAGTATTTTACCAGGTCTCAAAACATCACTATTAGATCCAGTGCCGGAGGTTCGAGCAGTTGCTGCTCATGCTCTTGGTACAATGGTGCGCGCCATGGGTGAAGAAGCATTTCAAGAAATTGTCCCATGGTTGATGGAACATCTAGTATTAGAATCGAGTTCTGTCGATCGTTCGGGAGCAGCACAAGGTAACATATTTTATACACTGATACTTTGCATTTTTCAATCAAACTTTACGTTACGCTATTTTATTGCTGATTAAGGTCTTAGTGAAGTTATTTATGGATTGGGTGCTGATCGTCTTGAAAAATCTATGCGTGAAATAATAGAACGTTCTCAACAAAATGATTTAGCTCCACATGTTCGTGATGGTTATATGATGATGTTTATTTATTTACCGATTAGTTTTGGTGATAGTTTTATTCCATATGTTGGAAAAATAATTCAACCGATATTAAAGGTATTCTATTTTTGAGAAGTTTTATAGTTCTATATTTTATTTATTTTTCCATTTTTGTCTTAGGGATTAGCTGATGAATCAGAATATGTGAGAGAAACAGCGTTGAAAGCTGGACAACGTATTGTTAATAGTTACGCTGAAACAGCTATATCACTATTTGTTCCTGAGTTAGAACAAGGTTTATTCGATGATAATTGGCGTATTAGATATAGTTCAGTATTGTTACTAGGTGAATTGTTATTTAAAATATCGGGTAAGATAATTAATTAGTTCAGCCTTTTTTTAGATAAAATAAATGATGTCAGATTTATTATTAAGGTGTTACTGGCAAAGCTACAACTGAAAGTGTTGATGAAGATGATAATTTTGGTACGGAACATGGTTTACATGCTGTTACACAAGCACTCTCACGTGATAGACGTGATCGTGTACTCTCTGGTATGATTAGTGATGTTATCTGCAATCGAAAACATCATTCTTTATCGCTTTATGTTCTTTCTCTAGGACTTTATATGGGTCGATCAGACATAGCATTGACAGTTCGACAATCAGCATTACACGTGTGGAAAACAATAATATCAAATACACCACGAACATTACGTGAAATTCTTCAAACATTGTTTTCATTACTATTAGGATGTTTAGCAAGTTCAAATTTCGATAAACGACAAGTACGATAGTACTGAATCGATTTAATAATTAATATAATTGTGTGTGTATATGTTTAATTATATTTTCATTTAGATTGCCGCTCGAACATTGGGTGATTTAGTCCGAAAACTAGGTGAACGTGTACTACCAGAAATAATTCCGATTCTTGAAAAAGGTCTCGATTCACCACATAGTGATCAACGACAAGGTGTTTGCATCGGATTAAGTGAAATAATGGCAGCATGCAGTAAAGACTACGTATGTACATGAAATGAAACTTCTTTTAAATAAATGAGAATTTCTATAATTCTTGTTATAATAGGTTATTGCATTTTCTGGAACAATAATTCCTACTGTAAAACGAGCATTACTTGACCCATTGTCAGAAGTTCGTCAATCAGCAGCAAAAACGTTCGATAATTTGTATACAAGTATAGGTACACAATCATTAGACGATATATTGCCATATTTATTGAATGCAATGCAAGCAGATTTGTCCATTCAACAAAATGGTAATGATGATGATAGTAAGAAAAATGAACAAGAACAACAACGTGATTATGCACTCGATGCACTACAACGTATTATGCAATTAAAATCACGTGTTGTGTTACCCTATCTTGTTCCACATCTAACAGCGCCGCCAGTTGATATACGAGCATTGGCTAGTCTAACTCTAGTGGGCGGAGAAGCATTAGCAAGACATTTAAATCGTATTATGCAAGCTGTTGTCAATCATATTGCCGATGAAAAAGATGCCACATTAAAACAACAACATTTAGCTTATGCTGAACAGTTAATTGCGGCGGTATGTGTTTGTTAGTTTTGCATGTAAAATAATATTCTTGTATCATTATCTTTTTCTCTATTATTTTTATTTTTTATTTTAGATCACTGATGCTGATGGTATTCAAATGATTATTCGTGAATTACAAGAATATTGCCGTTCACCAAAACAACATGTTCGTCTTGTATCAATCACATTGTTATTTACATTTTGTAAACAATCAAAAGGCAATTATCAAGATCATATAGATGATTTAATTCGAATATGTGTTAGTTTACTCAATGATGATAATGAACAAATATTGAATATGGCATGGGATTGTTTAGATATCATTATTAAAGTAAAATATCAAATAACTTTTTGACATCCAAACTACGTTATGTTTCTTTTTTTTTTAAAGGATCTTGATCAACTTGAATTACAAAAACGTTTAAGTGTTGTAAGGCAGGCATTACGTTCAGTAGCATCAGATGTCAAAGAACGTGGACGACTTCCAGGATTATGTATTCCGAAAAAAGTATGAAATTATAATTTATAGAATCTTTTTATTTATAAAAAAAATTAATTTTCTCTAGGGAATTGGATGTATTTTACCCATATTCAAAGAATGTATTCTCAATGGTCCACCTGAATTAAGAGAATCTGGATCGTATGGTCTGAATGAAGCTATTTTATTATCTGAGTAAGAATTAAATATTACATGTACCAGTTTAATATTCATACTATTAAAATTATTGTATTTTTCTAGTTCTGACTCATTAAAAGTATCTGTTATGCACGTTACTGGTCCATTAATTCGAGTACTAGGCGAACGTTTTAGTACAAATATTAAAGTTGCCATACTAGAAACACTTAGTACATTTATGTCAAAGGTTTGCTTGCTGTGAAAGATAGAAAAAAAAATATATAAAAATCTCTCTAACATATTTGTATGTTTCTAGGTGGGTGTTCAATTAAAACCATTTTTACCACAGCTTCAACCGACATTACTTAAAGGTTTAAATGATCCAGCAAGAGCCGTACGTGTTAGAGCGGCATATGCATTAAGTTTATTAACTGTTATTCATGTTAGAATTGATCCAATATTTACAGAATTATTAAATGGTTTGAAAACAAACGATGATATTTCATTCAAGTAAATTCTTTTTTTTCGAATTAAATAAACATTCACGAATATGATATGATGTGAATTTTATCTATTTTTGTTGAAAAATCGTGGATTGAATGATAATAATCTCGTTATTCTACAAAGACACTATATTTTTCTTCTTTAGAGAAACATATTTAATGGCATTGCGTAGTTGTTTAACCGTTGTGGGTTCAAAAGTGTCGGATGATATTCGAAAACAAATATCACGTTCCCTATTAACATTACTCTCAAATGAAAATGATAATTTACGATTGTTGACGGCGGGATGTTTAGGAGCAACATACGTATTTTTTACAGCCGATGAATTTCCATCTATTATTAATGAACTTCTTTCAGGTAATTGTACTGTGATAACAGAGAGATTTGAGTACTAAATCATATTCTTTATTCTAGATGTAAAATCATCATCAGATTGGCGTTCAAAACAAGCACGAATTGTTTTATTAGCAACAATGTTTAAAGATATGAGTCGTAGTGAAAATGTTGAAATATCTAAAACAAAAATCTTACCACCATCTGTTATTGAGTTTTTGTGTGAAAGTACTCAATCCGATCGAGTAAAATAACTTTTTCTCTTTTTAATTAATGTTACTCATATTTTTGATTATTATTTTAATTTAGATTCAAGTATGTTCTAGTTCTATTCGTGCATTAGCATTCTATATCAAATGGAGAATAGTGCAAAAATTTGAGGTTGAAAATCTACCGTTAAACTCTTTAGCGAGAGTAAGTTATAAACGAATAATGAAAAGGGATATGTGATTAAGAAAAAATGTCTTGTTTTTTTTTTTTTATTTGTTTTTTAGTGTAGTAATCATCAATCAAATGATGTTAAAAATTTAGCCGTTTGTTCTGTTGAATATGTGGCTAAAACTGTTGATGATTTATTACCAACAAACGTTCTACGTATGTTGGTACCAATGCTTGTTAATAGTTCAAAAGAAAAGGCCACAGTTGTTCGAACAAATAGTGAAATAGCATTAATCGCCTTATTACAAATGGATAAAAATAAAGAAAGTGCTCTTGTAAGTGTTTATATAATAAAATTATTAATTTTTCAAGTATATGAATATTTTTTTTCTCATATTTAGATATGTTTAAATTCATTGGATGTTGGAATGCGTGAAGCATTACAAGAAGTTATAACAAAAAATCTTCAAAGACTTGTTTCACAACATGATTTTAAAACAGTTCATGGAAAAGTGACCGATATCGACGAAACAAATATTTCTTGAACAGAAACAACAATGTTCATCGTTTACATTTGTGATAGATTTGCAGTTTTTTTTTTCCTTCTGTATTGAATATTGAAGAAAAAAAGTTGCACAAGTCGTAAATTAGTACAGTTACAGCTAATAAAGTTTTTAATTATTTTATGTATCAAAGTATGGTGAATATGTTTAAACTGGTTATTCTGCTGTTCTTTGTTTCTATCATTCTCTTGCGAGTTTTTGATATTAAGTTTTTTGTTTTTGTTGCTGCATTACTGTGTTTTAGTTAAAAATAAAGTTTCTATAGAAATACGATTGAACACAAAGATAACGAGTCTATTTTTTACAATGTAATTAGGAACTATTCCCATATATTAGTAAAAGTAGAGCTCCGTATGAACTAGAGTGGATTTTATACAAATCTTTGATTGGTAAACATCGGTAGTTTTAACCTGCTCAGACTCGATTCACGAGGGAACCTCACCAACTGATACCCTCTGTTTGAGCTCATACTCTGCTCATAGGTAGGACTCATAGTGTAGATAAAAACTCTAAAAGGATTCATCCCCTTGACTCTTGAAGACCTGGTTTTCTGG